TAGGCAGAGGGAGCCCTCCGTGCAAAGGCCCTGTGGCAGAAGCAAAGCTGGGATGCTGCAGGAGAGCAGGGAGGCCAACCAGGCTGCTTCTAAATGAGCAAGGGGGAGAGTGGGGGGAGGTGAGGCCGGAGCGGCAGTGCAGGAGCAGAGTGAGGTTTACACAAGGCGGAGAGGACAGGCGAGGCCGGCCCAGGCCCTGGCACCGTGCCGAGCGCGAAGGCAGGCTCTTGCTTAAATCTGTTGGATTTGAATTTCAAATGCAAAGGGTCATTGTGTTAAGGGAAAACTCCCTCTAACTACTGTTTTTCCAGCCTTTATGGAAAGAGGGCATCGAATCATTTTTTTTTTAAATTTTCTGCTTCAGTTATTAATGCTTTTAAATGTTTTCTCTTATGTAGTGATAAATTACATGAAGAAGAAAGCCGATGTGGTCTGGGCGACCCTTCTCTAATGAGTTGTTCTATGCCGGTTGCTAAGATTTTATCAAAGACTTCTGCATCTGTCATTCCAACTGTTGATGATCTGTTTTTTGTTGTTTTGTTTTGTTTTGTTTTGTTTTGTTTTGTTTTTTTGTGGTACGTGGGCCTCTCCTGTTGCGGAGCACAGGCTCCGGACACGCAGGCTCAGCGGCCATGGCTCACGGGCCCAGCCGCTCCGCGGCATGTGGGATCTTCCCGGACCGGGGCACGAACCCGTGTCCCCTGCATCGGCAGGCAGACTCTCAACCACTGCGCCACCAGGGAAGCCCCTGATGATCTGTTATTTTTGAGAAATAAGATTTTTTTCATGGTTCTAGAACATTCCATCATAAGGGTACCGTAATCATTTAACTTTCTGGGATTGAGTGTTAGAGGAGGGTTTGATTTCACTATCTTCTTCTTCCACCCTCTCTTCCCCCCTCTTCCCCGCCTACACACACACGTGCACGCACACACGCACCCATACACCACACACACAACACATCCTTCCTCTATCTCACTAGCAGAGGTTTTCCGGAAGGGACATTTTCTGGGAAGGCAGAGGGCACATGTGCTGGCACGCTAGGAGGAGAGTTCTGGAATCCTGGTAGGGAGTTCCATGTATGCTGATTCTGGAGCCCATCTGCCCGTGGCTTGGTGAGAAAGCCCATGTGAGCGAGACGCAACCCAGGCCCCTCCCACACGCAGGCCACCTTGAACTCCCCGCTGGTGCTGAGATTCACGCTCTTTCCCACCCCACACGTTTATCCCAGCTGGGCCCTGGGCCCTTTATCTGGAGTCCCCCCTCCTTCTTGGCCCCCAAAATAACAGTTTGTGGGCGATCTGAAACAAGGTCTCTCCCATACAGTCTCCCGGGCAGGGGGAGCCGCCCCTACTGCTCTGGCCAGGGCACTGGGCCACATCCTTACCAGGGCGCTCCTCCCGCCAGGCTGGCAGTGGAGCCGGGCAGTCAGGGCACGGGCTCTGGGGACGGGCGGTCAGCGTGAAATCCAGCTCCAGCCTTTGGCGTTACGTACTTGGTTCATGTTGGGAAGACACACACTACACCTACCATACACGCACACGTGCAGACACACGCACACACACACACACACAAAGGGAGCGGGGACAGTGAGGTTGGGAATTAGTTCCCTCCCTGCCTGGGCCTCTCCCCCAGGCCCAGCTCTGCAGGGCAGCCTGTCCGTCCAGCTTCGCCACACCCACCCCGCGGCCTTGTGTGGGCTGAGGAGGGCCAGGGCTCTCTGCTTTTGCTGGCTTTTCTCTGCTCTGCCCACATCTTCGTCAAGTTCCCAGTCTGAACTGACCACGTGTTTCCTGCCAGGAGCCTGCCCGGCCCTTCAGGCCTTCTCTTCTAATCTTGCTGTATCACCAGCTTCACCCTGACGTGACTGGGACCACCCGGGGTGCAGCCCCCTTCCAGGTCCCGAGCAGGAACCAGGCAGAAGCCCTCCACCCTCGGGTTCCCCCATAACTCCCCAACCAGGGTCTCCTCCGAAGGACCCACGTGCCTGATCTTCCCTTCTGCTCCCCAGACATTTCCTGTGGAGTCAGCAACAGAGGGCGTGCCCCACGCGGGAGCCTATACAGTGTCTTTGTGCAGTTTAGAAAGATGCCTCCCTTCCTCAGGATACTTTACTTCCATCTGGCAGAAAATCACTGTAATGTACTGATTTTGTATCTAGAAAACTCTCAGGGTAAATACACAAATCTACAGCATCTCTGCCGTGAACGGCAGGCACCCCTTAGAGGGCGTCCTTGTGCAGTGCACAACCTGCCCTCCCAGGCCCTGCCTTCCTGGCTTTTCTCTCTGTATCATATATGTGTTCTTCCCAGCTCTACTCTCATGACTGAGCATTCGGCATTTCGACATCTTGGGAGGAACTCTGAGGTCAAATGGTCAAGATCAACATCCTGCTAGAAAGATCAGGTACCCACCTGCCCTGTCCTATCTAGAGGTGATAACTTCCGGTTTAGTCTTAGGAGGTGGACTGTTTCAGGGAGAACATGTTAAAAGATATCAATCTAAATGTCAGCAAATATATTTTCTCCTTTACATGTGCCAGAGACTCTACTCATCTCAGTCCTCACTGGCTTGTGAATTTGTTCTCTTCTCCATTTTACAGATCCTAGAAATCCAGCCTCCCCAGGACTAAGCACCTCCCCCAGGGCTTTGCTGTACTGCGTTGTCTTCCCACCCTCAAATCCTCTCAGTACATTGGAACAAGAGACCAGAGAAGGTGGGACACGTGACCACGAGGACAGGGTTGTCTGAGTACCTTGGGGCGTGAGCTTGGATGTCCCTTTGCACTTAAGGAAAATTTCTACACCGCAGTCAAAAGCCATTTTAGAAATATACGCTGGGAAGATGATAATCGTAACCTTTAATGACAGTGGCGCTTGCAAAACGGTACAGTTCAGGAAGGACTGATGCTTTATCCAAAAAGCTCTTGTTAAAATCCAATCATCTTGAGCAACGAGCATTAGCAGGAGATGCCTGCAATGAACAAAAACACAGGAAAGGTTAATGGCCATCTTTGCTAAAAACGATTCAGGGCTTTATCTCGCATTCCAGCTCAGCCTCAGATCTGTGCATATGCTGAAGATTTTTTTTTTTTTTTCGTTTTGGTAATCAGGAGAAGAATTGATTACCAAAATTATAATTAAGAGCTGGGAAGATATGCAACAATTTGGCTGCTTCATTTAGCGTGTATTTCAGGTTAATTGCATAATTTTACTAATGAAGATATTTGCATGAATATCTTCAGTGGCTACATTCAATTTATTGTGTAATGAACACTCTGCTAAGCAGAAGACTTCACTTCTTGTTGGATTCAGGGTGAGACAAAGGCTGAAACTCTCAATGGGTTTCTAGCCTCACATGTCAGGCTCTTAATGAGTAAATCCGTTAAAGTCTCCTGATGGAATTTACACTGCCCACTGATACAACTGGATTCTTCTCTAATTTTGAAAAAGACTATAAGATTCCAAAGGAAGTGGAACAACCCCTTTTATTACCAGTTCTTGAAAAAGTATATCAAAAAGAAGTATTTTTCCCATGCCTATCCAATTTTAGTTTACGTGGGTCATCACACCTTATTTCCATTTAAAGAAAAATAAATGTGATGCCTATAAAATTATAAAGAGATTAGAAAATATAAAAAATCAAAAGAAAATAAAAACTATCCATAATTCTGCTATTCAGAAAGAACAGTGTTAACGTTTGGGAGTGTATGGCTCTAAATATTTCTCCTTTGCGAAAGTGTACTTTTCATTTTTTACCCAAATGGATTTACCATATGTACAGTTTCTTATTTAAGTTATTTCTTCACCTAACAATAAACTGCGAACATGTTCTATATCAGTAAACATTTTTTCTACTGCTGTGTAAAGGTACGAAGGTTTTCATGGTGTGGACGTGTCATAATTTATGTAAATGACCCCTTTTTGTTGGATGTTTAGGTTGAATCCAGTTCACTTTATAAGCAGCAGGTAGTGAACATTCTCAAAGCTCCTTGAGCACGTTTGTCATTATTTTCTTAAAATAAATTCATAGATACTCAATGCTTAGAAAGCCTGGATAGATGTTGCTAACTTGACCCTAGAAAGATGGAAATTTTAAATCCCGCCAGCAGTGTGGGATAAAGGTGCTTTTTCCTGCAGTCTCACCAACATTGGGGCCTGATGCTATCATTTGAAAATGGTAGCTAAAAAATTTCTCTCGCTGTTGATTTCGTGTGCTTTTCTTCAGTGACTGGTGGAACTCGTGATTGTTTATCGGCCATTTATGGTTCTTCTTTGTGAATTGCCAGGGCAAGCGCCTTGCCCATTTGTAAAAACTGGGTTGTCAGTTTTTCTGTTTCAGGATCTTTCTATGTTTTAAGAATATGACCATTAATCTACATATGGTCCAAATATGTTTCCATTGATTTCAATATTTTTCTACTGATGCAAAAAACAAAATGATTACATTTTGTTCCCCACGTTCATTCTGTGGGAGGAGCCATCCCTGGGAGGGCCGGCAGGTCGGTGTCCCAACGCCAGCAGCTAGCAGGGGGTGTGCTTGCCAGCTCAGGCACTGCCCAAGTGCTTACTGCCCCAGTTCACTTAATTCTCATACTATTATCTGCATCTTACAGGTGAGGAAATGGGGTTTCAAAGGGCTTCAGTACTTGACCCAGGTCACTCAGGAACAGCGTCAAGATTTGAACCCAAGCAGTGTCTCTCCAGGGCCAGAATCAGACTGCAAGGTGTTGCTAGTAGCAACGGATGATAGCGCAAGCATCCATTGCTGTGAACTTCAGGCTCCGGCCAGCTGTACCTGTAGGAAGTTGTATCCATTAGGAATGCATGACAGATGGCACAGAAACTCCAACCACAGTGGCCTGAACAAATAGGGGTTTTCATAAAGGGTTGTTGAATTATTGCTGTGTGTGATATGCCAACGGTGAATTGCATGTGACAGTGTCTGTCCAAACCTTGAAGCATCTCTGACAGTATCTATGACTACGTGTGTTTTTATAGATATTTGCCCTGCTTCTGGGTGAAGGCAGAAGAGAGAAGGCAGCGGCTGAACGTGTTAAGTCAGAGGCCCGGTTGATAGTGGAAGATGGCTGGACACCAGCTGATGGTGTGCACTCGTTATCAGGGCTTCAGCTCTTGGGGCCAGTTCCGATGGGCGTGCAGGACGCCCCGTGGGGCCGGAAACAAGGGGAGCAGCTGCATGCGATTTAGAAGCTTCACTACCCAGCTCTACCCAACCTAAGGTGCGTATTCTCCCAGCTCAGCAACCCTGCCCAGGTGCACACCCGCGAAGCCTGGTGGGTCCAGAGCCCTCATCATGAAGGAGCTTGGGCCTCTCAGTGGCTTCACTCCCCTGCTTGCTGTGGGGAAAGACCACAAGTGAAAGAGCCGGACGACACCTTCCCCGGGTCACCATTAGCATCCTGGGAGGATGAGGGGAGCGTACAGAGGAGAGATAGATGGAGAGGGGTGCCTGGCTCGGACCCTCCCTCGCCGGGGCCAGCTGAGGTCGGGCGCAGGGGGCGGCTTCTCTCCTTGCCAAGGCTCCCCGTGAGTTGAATCTGGAAAATGCCAGGAAACTTCCAAAAAGCACAAAATAGTGTTCCTTTAAAAAGCTATTTAGCGTGACTCTAGAATGCAAGGAATGATCCTAGGGGGATCCTGGACTGGGGGGAACTTGCCCCCCAGCATAGGATTGGATAGTGAAATATGGATTATTATTAAGTAACAGTGTGCAATCATATTAAGCTTCCTGAACTTGATCATCATATCCTGATTATGGAAGGGGAGGTTCCTGTTCCTAGGGGACACAGGTGACCTCTCGAGGGATCAAGTGCCGTGACCCTGCACGTGTCCCCAGAAGTCGAGGGCGGCTTCCTGGGAAGATGCTGACAGAGGACGTTGTTAACAGGTGAGGATTCTGGGTGAGGGGCATGTGTGAGGGGGTGGTCATTGTTCTGTCCTTGCGACTTCTCTGCAGGTTTGAATTTTCTTCAAATTGTACCTCTTTTGAAGTGTTATTTAAAATTCTAGGTGTGATCATCATGGGTGCTAAGGAATTGTTGAGAGCCCAGTCCAGGTTCCTGAGTCCTTCATGAATTTGCCCCAAATGACCTGGGGTGGCAGGTGACCTGTGGGGCCCCCCGGACCCCCTCAATGGGGACACGTCTCAGCTCCTGGCGGCCCTGTCAGCAGGTGGCTCAGCTGCACCCACCGTCAGGCCCTTCCCGGCGGCCCTCGCCCAGTGACCCACCAGTGCTGGTGTGTGAAGGCCTGGCCGTCTCGGCCCAGCTGGGGACAGCTCTGAGGGCCACCTCAGCTCCACAGCTCCCGGGGGGCAGCTGACCTGTCCCCTCCCCCCTCCTCAACAAATGCCCACTTGTCAGCACCATCCCAGAGCCGGCTTCCCGGGGGTCCAGCCTGCCACAGGCCTCCAGCCACGTCCCTGTCACCTCCACTCACACGCCCACGTCTCCCCTCCACCGTCACCCCTGTTCTGCCCACACGCGTCACGCACCACGGACGTTTCTTCCTTTAAAGCAGTTTTGTCTGAACTATTTCCAACGCACAGACAGAGAGAACGGGATGATGAATACCTGTGCGCCCCTACACAGCTCTATCAGATCTCAGCCTAATGTCACGTTTGTTCAAATGTGGTTTTTTTAAGGAACAAAGCATCACCGATTCAGCGAAGGCCTCCTGTGTACCCGTTCCAGTCCTTCCCCCCCGCCCCCGCCCCTCCTGACCGTCTCCCGCCATCAATTTGGTGTTTCTCCTTCACGTGTATGTTTCTATACTTTTAACACAGCTTTGTGCATCCGTAAACAATATGTAGTATTGTGTTTTAGGTTTTTAATCTTTATGTAAATATTATCATTCAGACCGCATCATTCCACGGCTTGCTTTTCCAGCCCCAGGTTGTTTGTGAAATGCCTCTACAAGTGGATGTCTGTGGTCTGGCCCATTCGATCTGCCTGTAATACACCCCATGGATTTCAGCCTGGCTCCTGTTAAGGGACGTCTACGTCTTTCCTCCAGACAAGCGGTGCTGCCATTGCCGTTCTCACCCACGGCTGCTTGAGCCTCCGAGACGGTGGCCCAGAGGTACAGTGACGTATCAGGGAAGTAAGTGTGGGAACAGGAGTGCGCAGCAGGAGGCCACCGTCTGAATCCCAGACAAAGCTCATGGCTCAGAGTGTGGGCCCCGCGAGGCAGACCCCCTTTCTCGCTCCTCCCCACCGCTTGCTTCCAGCCCCCCAGCACCTGATCAGCCACCACAGAAGTCAGGTTTCTCTGTAGCAATGCTGTGTAATCGATAGTCCCAAGCTCCAGGCTTACCCCAGGCATTTATTTCTCATTCATGCATCTGCGGGGGAGCGAGGCTTGGCTCTGTTCTGGCCACTGGGCTGGGTTCCAGTCTACTCCATGGGTCTTTTATTCCTGAAGGGCTGACGGCTTTCTGGGACACGCTCTCCTCAAGGCCAAAACTGGAGCGCAAGAGGCCAAGCCAAACCACGGAAGCTCACGTAAAGACCCTGCTCCCGTGCGGTGTGGACTGTCTGCTTGTAGAGTCCATTGGACAGAGAAGTCCTGAGTTGCTGGCGGAGCCTGCTCCACCCGCAGTGACATACTGGTGGGAGCAGGAGGGCGAGGAGAATGGTGCGCAGGCCAAGCCGCCCTCCACGGGTGCAGACCTTCTGCTGCCGTGCCCCTCCTCCCACACGCGTGCGTATGCACATGCACACGCATACACTCAGCCACAGCCTGTCCTCACCCTTCCTCCACTGTTCCCTCCTGCCCACTCCCCCCCGCCCCCAGTTCTTTCCAGAGCTGAATTGGGTTGGGGAGTGACCAGGTGCCTGGTGCACTGATAAATAAGAAAGCAAAGGCATCACCAGGAAGTAACGTATTAGGATTTTCAACAGCCAAGACGTGGAAGCAGTGTAAATGCCCATCAACAGAGGAATGGATAAAGAAGCTGTGGTACATATATACAATGGAGTATTTCTCAGCCATAAAAAAGAATGAAATAATGCCATTTGCAGCAAGATAGATAGAACTAGAGATTATCATACTAAGCAAAGTAAGTCAAAGACAAATATCATATGATATCACTTATATGTGGAATCAAAAATATGATACAGATACACTTATTTACAAAACAGAAATAGACTCACAGACATAGAAAACAAACTTACGGTCACCAAAGGGGAAAGGGGGAGAGAGAAAGTAGGAGTATGGGATTAACATGTTATATATAAAATAGATAAACAATAAGGACCTACCGTATAGCACAGGGAACTATAGTCAATATCTTATAATAACCTATATAATGGAAAAGAATCTGAAAAAATATATATATATATGAAACTCAGTCACTTTCTGTACACCTGAAACACTGTAAATCAACTATACTTCAATTTAAAAAAAGAAAGTGATGTATTAGGATTTTCCAGAGAAACACAACCAACAGAACGTGTGTGTGTGTGTGTGTGTGTGTGTGTGTAATGTATATAAGTGTATATAAAATTTTATATATGTAAAATGTATATATATGTATATAAAATGTATATAATAAGGAACTGGCTCATGTAGTGATGGAAGCTGAGCAGGCCTGCGAGCTGCTGTCTAGGAAGCTGGGGCCCTAGGAAAGCAGCTGGTGTAACTCAGTCCAAGTCCAAAGGTCTAAGAACCAAGGGAGCTGATGGTGAAAATCCGGGCGTGAGGGCAGGAGATGAGATGAGATGTCCCAGCCCAAGCAGGGAGGCAGGAAAAAGGGGGGCAGCTTCCTCCTTCCTCTGCCTTTTGTTCTACTCAAGCCATCCACGGGTTAGATGAGGCCCACCCACCCCGGGGAGGGCATCTACTTTCCTGAGTCTGCAGTTTCAAATGCTGACCTCATCCCGAAGCACCATCACAGACACACCCAGAATAGCGTTGCATCTGGGCACACCATGGCCAGTCAGGTTGACATAGAACATTAATCATCCCATACTCCTCCTGCCTAAGCCTGTAGAACAAGGTTATTCGCTAAAAGATTTGAGAGTGCACTCGGTCTTACACAGGAAGTGGAGCGTGGGTTATAAATTCCATTCCAAATTGTCAAGGAGCCACAGGCTTCCATGGGCACAGCCTGTGACAGGTGTGTGATGGCTCGTGTGCAAAGCCATTTAGCTTGTTAACGAGTAAGAGTCTGGGTCAGCAGCACACACTCAGGGACTGTGGTTGGTTTAAACAATAAGAGGATGGTATAGGAATCAATACTCCGTTCCATTCTCAAAAGCCAGAGACACCCAGCTTCTGTGTAGGTCATCCGTGCTGTGGATTAACATGCCCCCAAAATAATGAGGCAAGTAGCCATCATTCAGCACACCCTGGCCTCTTCATTTCGTCCTGGCTGGGTAAACGGGAACCATTAGCTGCATTATCCAGTGTTAGGAAATCAATAACATACTGATTATTGATAGACACGCACTGCTGGCAAAGGGGAAAAAATTACATGAGGGCTTTATGGGGTGATCGCTCTGTTCTTTAGAGCAGTGGCCAACTTCAGCTTTCAATTCCCTGTGACATACTCACCCAGATTGATGGAGCTTTTGTAATATCTAATGGGGATTGGTGACACGACCCGTGCTTTCACTCTGTGGGATGTTTTAAGCATCCCACACGTCTAGACGAAAAGGAAAGAAGCAGTAGAATCGCATCCAATCTTAGAAATTATAGGGAAGGGACTTCAGGGTAATTGAAGGCCTGCCTTATACTCTGTATACACTGTTTCCTTTAATCCTCAAACATTATTCTCTCCACCTCACAGGTGATGGAAATGGGGCTCAGAAAGGTGAACTAACTTGACCAACGTCACTCAGCCAATCAGTGGAGGAACTGAGATTCAAAAGGACAGTTGATTAGGAAGGCCACTCCCCTTGCACTGGGCCTTATCCCAGGTTCTCTCAAAGCCCCAGTATTTTAGTGATGTCCCTAAGGTGCTCGTAGAGTGAGGGGGACAGTGACAGTGGGGCAAGGGGGTCAGTAACAGCAGTAGTACTGGTGTGATTTGGAAGTCAAGAACAACTGCCTCTCCAGTGGGACTGTCCCCTCCCTGCATCTGGACCCAACACCTTTCGTAATGTAGCCAATGAGTTGCATTTACTTTATGGCTACCACATGCCATTGCTGGTCTGGAGGTACTTAAGCCTCCTGGGGGTTCTTCGTAGGAACCTCCCTCAAGCTGGGTCTGCCTTGTCCTGTACTTGTGGGGATTGGGGGTATTTAAGACGGATTCTTAGCATTCAGCCTCGTTAGATTTACTCCAGCTGTGCTCCTACCATCCTTCCAACCTGTTAAGATTTTTCCAATCTCGATCCTATCATCCAGCGTAAGCGCCGTCTCTTTTTGTTCTCATCTCCAAATCTGACACATATATCTTCTGTTTCATCTGAGATGGGCAGACAGACGGGTGTACACGTGAAAATGAACTGTCTAGGGCATCTTCTAGGAGCGCACCAGCGCTTGTCTGAGAGGTGCGAAGTCCTGCCCAAGTTCTGTAACTCCTTCTTCCGGAGCATTCTAACCAGTAATGGTGAAAGCGCGTGTCCATCCAGGTCTCAGAGACCTTCCCTACAATCTGCCTTACAACGCTGGGGGGGAAGCCCCACGAAGGCAGGGGCTGTGTGAGGTTCCGCTCACCCCTGGGTCCCCGGCACCCAGCCGGAGCAAGCGCACGCACACACAGGTGTTGAATGGGTGAGGGGGTGAGAAATGACGCCACACCATCACTCCGCAGCTCCACCCCTGCCCTGCATCCCAGCAGGTGAGTCTCTCTGGATAAAGCAAGTCTCTTGGGTTTCTAGAGTGGTGGCTCTTGAATGGGGGCGTCGTCACCCCACCCCAGGAGGTGCTCTGGAAGTTTGCGGGGGGTTGTCACGATGCCTGGCGTAGGCAGCGGCCTTCAGAGGGACACGCGATATCCTGCAGTGCATGGGACAGTCAAGAAAAGGTCTCTGACCTGCGAGACCTTCCATTATCTGTGTGGGCATTCATGAAGGTGGACACTTCTGCTTCCCTGTAAACACAAGACATCTTTTACACAGTTTTAATCCACATAGAATATACTGGTTTATATTCTTACTGGATGAGTACAAAGGCGAACAATAGATGCAGCTGGAGACCTTCAAAAAACGTTCAGTCTGGCTAAGGAATTAAGTGGAATGAGAGAACATAAGAGGAACTCTGGCCCCTCCCAGTGGAAAAGAAGTGAGGTTGGAACCGGGAGGAGTGGCTAGGAGTCAGCTAGGTGAAGGGAGACAAGAGTGAGCCAGACAGGAAACAGCGCGTATAAAGGCCCTGCAGCAAGTAGGGCAAGACATTTAAGAGAGGTCACGAGGGCTTCCCTGGTGGCGCAGTGGTTGAGAGTCCGCCTGCCGATGCAGGGGACACGGGTTCGTGCCCTTGGTCCAGGAAGAACCCACGTGCCACAGAGCAACTATGCCCGTGCGCCACAGCTACTGAGCCTGTGCTCTAGAGCCCAGGAGCCACAACTACTGAGCCCACGTACCACAACTACTGAAGCCCACGTGCCTAGAGCCCTTGCCCCGCAACGAGAAGCCACAGCCATGAGAACCCCGCGCACTGCAACAAAGAGTAGCCCACGCTCGCCGCAACTACAGAAAGCCCGCGTGCAGCAGCGAAGACCCAACTCAGCCAAAAAAAAGAAGTAAACACAATTTTAATAGAAGTTAGATGACATCAGCCCCAGCACTCTGGTTTGAAATGGAACCGACCATTTGAGAGGTAGAGTTGGGGAGAGGGACCAGAACCAGCTGCCGTGGCCGCTCTGCTCAGGATTAGCTTTGGGGCTGCAGCCTCGGTTTCTTATTCCCTTTAAGGAAACCGAAGGGCTTTTTCAGACTCACGAAGAACCACCGAGGGACCAGGAAAATGTTCCAGGGGTACTTTGTGCCACTACCACCCCCCCGCCCCCCGCAGGCTGTCAAACGCTGGCCGTTAGAGACCCAATCATAATGACGGTGCTTTCTGGGAATCTCTGCATTAATTACCATCATCGGAGAGACGTCGTATGTAGTTACATAATAGCTTCCCAAGTTTTGCTGGTCTGAGGCAAGCTAACAAATTTGTAGCTATTAAGGAACACAAATTGCTCTGCTATGTTTTAAATTCGGCAAATGGAAAACTTTGTTTAGAGAGGTGGCTGGAATGCAGAGCAATTAGTGTCTAATAATTGGTTAATGTTGGAGATGCTGCACAGAGATACGGTTTAAAATGCCTGCCTTAATGTCTTAAGCGAAAAGAGAGAGGAATTTGAAGAAACCATAATAGGGTTAGGCATATTAATATAATAGCATATTTTTACAAAATGTAAAAGGCTCTTGTTTTGCCTTTAAAAGGGACAGCTAATGCCGCATCCTTATTTTTACCACTTAATTGCCCTGTCTTGGATACTAATGATGGGCTGATTGCAGTTTAATTACGGAGGGATGGAGATGGAGAGGCCGGCTGGATTGGGAGGGAGGGACCAAGAGTTGAAAGACACCTGGGAACGCACGTGGGGAAGGCGGGTCATCAGGCCACCCCATCGGTGCACGGGTCCCGGTGACGTCATCACACCGCAAGGTCTCGGCCCCTGCAGGCTCCCTGACGCATTTACCGAAACATCGTGAGAACTCACGGCACCTTGGTTCAGAGAGGCTGGTGGGATGACGGATAACAATTTACTGTCTTCCGCCCAGAGCCCTTCTCTTCCTGTAGACGTGGCTGCTCCCCTTCCTCTAGGGCGGTGGTTCTCGCACCTGAGCATGCGTCACAGTCACGTGCAGGATCGACAAATCAGATTCTAATTCAGAGAACCTGAAGGCGGCCCGAGAATTCGTGGTAAGCCCTGGCCGATGCCTCTCCGATGCCACACTTGGAGGCCCAGCGATGTGGGAAACTGCTTCCCTGTGACCCAAGATGGACTTTCCCATGGATTGTTGGCAAATCTCAGTAGAAGAAG